ACGTGGCCAGCCCAGAGGGAGAGAATTCATAACATAGGCAACTTCTTAAAAGGATCAGGAGGCAGCTGATGAGGTTAGGGCCCCAGGAGCAAACATTAATCTGAGCAGATAAATAACAGGTTGGATGGAAGATGCCAAGATTTCAATCAGAGTCTTCTGCAAGTAAAAGATGAAAAGTGAATGCTTACAAAACCTAGAATTTAGAGGAGTCCCTGTGGATTTTAACCCCCTAGTCATTGCTGGAACATGACCACTGAAGGAAAGACAACGACAGAGAAAGCTCGAACAGCATTTTTCAAAATGAAAAAAGGTTTTCAAGCAGGCATGACATAAGCCTAAGATTGAAAATCAGGCTTGTCAGATGCTCTTCTATCCTGCTTTACGGAGTGGAGAGTTGGTCTCTGACAGAAAGCCACTTGAGGAGCATTTGAAATGTGGATTTACAAGCGGCTGTTACATGTAAGCCGGGTTGACAAAATCAGAAATGATTTTTTTAAATGGTTTTTATCAATGGTTAGAGATAGGAGGTAGAAATTAGATGAAGAAAGGTCATTGTTATGTATAAGTTCATAATTAGGTATTCTAGTATACTTAATATGGTCATACATAAGCTAATTGAATTATGAATATGTTTATAATTACTATGTGTAGTATCGTTTACTGTAAGTATAGCTTTGTTTTTCCTTTTCCTTTTGTAAAATGAAATGCCCAGACGTTACACGCTAATCAAAATACTTATATATAAGCTTGACTTAAAAAGAAATGAGGTGATAAATCATCAAAACCATAAAAAAGCGAAAGTTAGAATATTTTTGACATGTGATGCAACACCCTGAAAAATACAGCCTACTTCACTTAATTCTCCAGGGAAAGATTGATGGCAAAGGAGGTCCAGGCAGAAGAAGAAGAAGATCAGGGCTTCAAAATCTAAGGGACTGGTTTGGACAAAACTCAACAGCACTTTTTCGTGCGGCTGTTGATAAAAATAGGATCGCCAACGTCCAATGATAGATATGGCACAAGAAGAAGTCGTTACCAACTACAAGGGGCTGTGCTCATCTCCATTTCAAGGCCATTGAGCCATCACTGTCCAAAGACATTGCTGTGGTCATATGGCCAGCATGATGTCACAGAACGCTGTTACATTCCAACCGAAGTGGTACCTATTTGTCTACTCGCATTAAGCATGCTTTCGAACTGCTGGGTTGGCAGGAGGTGGGACTGATCCCATCCCACCATGTGGCAGGTCTTGAACCCGGGGTCGCCGGTTTCCAGCCACCACGCTATCCGTCATCAGTAGGTGAAATAAACTAACTACCATAAATAATAATAGTATTATTTAGCTTTGTTATATGCTGCCCAGAATCGCTTAAATGGTGACATGGACAGCTACATCAAGTTGGGAGAAAAAAACCAACTTTTGCTTCCCTGATTAATATCCTCAGCAATCCACTCAGAAACATTCTTTGCTACTGATCCTGATCTGTTTTATTCCCAAACTATGATTCAACCTCTTCTTTGGCTAAGTTAGACCACTACTAAATCTAGCTTAATCTTAAATACACCCGCTTTTCTAATCCTGGGCACTCTCCTAAGCGTGTTGGCCTAAACATCACCACCTAGCCAGCAAGGCTATTGCTAAGAATTCTGGGAGTTGAAGTCTACACATCTGGGAAATTTCCTGGGTTGGGAAATATTAAGCTGACTTGAGCAGCAGCGATTATTGTGCCAGCTAAGAACAGGATGGACTTGTGCCTTATTTAATTTATGCATACAGTTTTATATAGGCACTCGTAGCATCGACCTAGATCAGCTCAGATTACCCTACCATAAATAACACACATGCCAGAAATATACCAACTATATAACCGAAATACTAATACTAAGAAAAATGAGGTGATTGATGCCCAAGGTTTAATAAAGGTGACTCTAGCACGGAGCTGCATCCGCTTCACAATTGTAGCATCCATGTTAATGGAAGCAGCGAAGGTGAAGACTGACATCTACAGGACAAAAGCTTTAAATCTTTAACATCCATTGCATTGTCTGGTCCATTATCTTGCCCCAAGAATGTATCTCTGGGTTGCTTATATGTAATCTGACTCAAACATTCACTTCAAAAAAATAGATGCTCCATTGAATGCCTGGTAGCGACAACCATTGATTTATGATCCTGTTCATACAAGTTATTATCAAGTGATTTGAAACCACATTAAATAATTGGGATTCCTGCATAGCAATGGATCCCAGTTAAGAGTCTGTTCCTGGGAGGCTGTGGCTATATTCTGAATTTCTATAAAACTCATTGGTCTACATTCTTCCAACTAGTTCTCGTGAGTATTAATTATTTCACAGGTATTGGGGAATCGAGAAAATTTCCTTTCCAATTAAATTGGACAGGCTAGCCCAGCAGGCAGATAGATAGCCTTAAGCCAACAGATACAAGAAAAATACCCATGTTTCACAAGTGATTATTAGCTACTGTACATACACAAACCAACATATTGGAAACCGTATTCATCCTCACAAATCTAAGCCTCTCCGAAGAAAACAGCCAACGGCATCGTTAAGTGAAAAATATATTTTATTTTTTAAAACAATAGCTGCCAGCAGTCTGCCAGTATATCTCTAAAAGATATCCCAGAAAAGTGAAAAGAAGCATCTTACAATAGGTCATACGGATTACCAGATATTTCTCAAAAGCCAAATAAATATCTTGCCCACTCTATGAAGTTTAAAATGTTACTGGATAATAATATTTTCAGATACAGTCAGAAGATAGAAAATTTGGCTTTTTAACTAGGAAACTGGCTTCATAAGAGATAACTTTTCCTCCTTTAGTCACAGTTGAAAGAAACAAGGTATTAATGTTCAGCATTAACATTTGATTTAGCACTGTGAACAAAATATATATATAAATTTAAGTCAGATTTTAAGAGAAAGGCAGAATCTGTGTACAAAGCTAATTTTAACTTTTACATGGCCCCCAGTACATATATAACTGTATACATGTAGCGTCAAGGCATAAAACATTCATTTTTAAAAAGGCACAGCAACAGCTCAATTCCTAGGGTGACCCGTTTGCAATATTCCATATTTCTTCCCAAGCAAACCACCTATTCATTTTTATCAATGTCTACCACATAACCAGAACACATATAAACAAACCACATTCCATTCCGATTTAAGCTATCATGGAAACAGTGAGATCAAGGGGTGTGTTCGGAGCACATAGTGGTTTCTGTCTAAATAAAAAAATGAAATATTGCACGGGCTTCACAACTTTGGCAAGGAAATTCAACATGTTCCTGTTATATAAAATTCTATTTGCTGAACTGACAAACATTTTTTTGGAAAGCACACATTACACATGTTGAAAGTTTTTACCGCAACTTTAGTGACATTTGAGTTTATCAGCGATACTTTCTCAGCCAGCAAAATATTGATGTCATGTTCAAGACAACGACTCCCACCTAGTAGCTCAGGGACAGTTTTAAGGAGGGTCCTATAGACAATTCTGTTGTGGAGATAAAGGGGTGGGGGGAACACCTTAAAAATGGCTAACAGATTGCAAGATTGGCCTTCTTGCTCAAAACCCTGTAAGTCTTAAGGTGAATTGCTCAACATCTCATCAAATTTTAGGCAGGAACAACAAAGTCTTGTGAAATTTGGCAGCTATTGACACGTGCAGTTCACCTTCAAGAAAAATGTGGCCATCGCAGAGTTATGGTATCCCTCTTTCCTTGCACACTAATCTTTGCTGCAAACCCCTAGATTTGACTTCTGGGTAAACTGTATTTTCATGAGTTGGAAGCACACAGGATTGTGTGTAGAGAGAGAGAGAATTTCCAAAGCTTTGTGCCTCTTCGGCTACATCGATGAGCATCATGTGATCAAAATTCAGGCGCTTGAGAATTGATTCATATTTAGGACCGTCTCTGAGTCCCAAGATCACGTGATCAACTTTTGCAACCGTCTAACAAGCAAAATCAATGGGGAAGTCAGATTTACTTTATAACTGGGCTGCTAACTTATCAACTGCAATGGTTCACTTGCAACTGCGACAAGGAAGGTTGTAAAAAGAGGCAAAGCTCAACAAATGTCTCACTTAACAACAGAAATTTTGTGCTCAATTGTGACCGTAAAGTCGAGGCCTACCTCTATTCCAGAATTAATGGCAATTGGACAATTCTCTGAACTCCAGTCCTAGAGTTTTCATGCTGGACTCCCAACTCACCTCACACAAAACCATCTTTAACAGATTCATCACAACATCACTGGGGAGTAGCGGCCCAGTCAATCCTGGGTCCTCCTACCTCAACTCAGACAAGGCCGCTTAGCTGAAAAACTAAACAAGCCTGCTATTATATTTAAACGGAGCTCCTTTCTCGGGTCTATTTTCCACTCCACCCGACCCCGTGCCTCTCTCAATTTATTCAGAGGGGTGAAAAATGCTTCGATCCACGTGGCCCTTCACTCCAATCCTCACGTGTGCACCCTGATCTGTGGGTCACCTAGCTACACACAGCAGATACATCACTGTTTGTGTGAGTGGCTCTACGTTGGTTTACCAAATCAGGCCAAGAACAAGCCCTGGCCAACAGTTTGGGAAAGGGTTCCATGGATACCTCACTTCAGGCTGAGGAAAACATTTCTGACCTGTTCATAAAGAGCAGAAAATGGAGGGAAAAGAGGTTACTGGCCCCCACTGGGCAGCCAGATTCTCTTCTGGCGTACAAGGGCATTGAAACACATTCGGTCTAAGAGACCCTTTCATGCCACTGAATTTTCAATTTGCCAAGGAAGATAAATCAGGGAAAGTTTTATTCCTTCTGCATTTGCCATCATTGCCACTTTAAGCCACATTATATCCTCTTCATTATCTTTTTTTCTGGCACGTGAAGAAGACGATGGGAATCAATTGAATCAAAGGCAGTGGGGAAGTATTAGCCAGTGTCTCTGAAATTTAAGTGAAAATTTTTAAAATGGCAACATCTTTCCTTTAGGATTTCTGCCACGTTGTATAAATATTTGGGGGGTGGGATTTTGGGAGCTTTTTAGCCCCAATCAGGTTTTGGCAACACTGAACATTTTAGGACGTGTCAGGAGACACGGCCATATAGAAAACATATAATGTATATAAAGCTATTTGTGATTAAAACTTTTTATAAAAATATAAAAATGCTTGGTGATATGATAAGATTTGATGTGGGGGGGGGTGGATATTTGAAAAAATCTCTTATTGTCAAGTACCTTACGCAAGAATTGCTCCGTTTCTCTTCTATGTGCCCCCAAATTACACAAATTAATTTAAAATGCTTTTCTATATTTCCTATGATTTATCTTTGAGGAAACACAAAGGTAAAGCATAATAAATTCAGTGAGACGTGTGCTCTGCAAACTGGTCAGCAAAAGCTTAAAAATGCAAGATATTCCCTTGCAAACAATAAAATGATTTGCATTTCAAGGTAAAAGGATTACCCATTAATGTAAAAATTACTAATTTAAAAAAAAACAAAAAACAAATCCCACATAATCAAGTCTGTTTTGAAGCTTGTTATTCATCGCATTTAAAGCAAATGGAAAAGTCATTCCGTGCCTCAAGCATTGGCCTTTTAAATGGAAGAAAATCAAATTTATTGGGCTTTTGAACTTTTGAAATTGAATTACAGCACTGTTCCTTGATGCTGTTATAAGTGGGGGGGAAACACAACTGACCTTTTAATATATCGTGATTGCAGCATGAAAAATAATCGATCAGATAAAGAGTTAAGGAGCTACTCTCTTCCCTTTCTCTTATTTTTCTAACTTTTGATTTTCCTATTTTTTTTATCTTATAGTGAAACTTAATAACACTTATGGGGGGGGGGGGAAAGTACAGAGGTAGGAGACAGTTAAATCCCAATATAAAACCTTAATAAAACAGCGGAAAAGGCACTTGGCTTGCTTCACAGGAAGAATTACAGTGAGGGAACCACGCAGGTTGTCTTGTTAAGGCAAATAAACTGATTTTTAAAGAACACTTGTCTGAAAATTAAAAATAAAACAGTAGAATTTAGTAAGATCTTGACCTTAGCAAAAAGCAAAAAGGATGCACCTCAGTCATTAAGTTACTGTATTTTTGCGAAGGCCAGCAGGGATGATGCTCAAGGAAGTCAAGATGGACATGACGATCACACAATCAATTGTTCATTTGCATCAGAATGCACTGTGGTTTGAATCACAGGCTTGTGGCCTCCATCTTGAATTTTCTGATCAATCATCCTATGACACCCCAATGTACCTCTAGCCAGCAAAGCTTTGACTGTTTACTTAAGAAATTCTGCATTCTGACAAGTCCCTTACTGACCTAAAAAGAAATCACTTGCTATTATAGCTTAGGAATTTGTCTCATTATTTATAGGGATAGCAAGCTTCTAAAAAAAGACCACCAGATTCTAAGCTGACTATCCAGAGCAGGGTTTCTCAAACTTGGCGACTTTTAAAATAGGTGGACTTCAACTCCCAGAATGCTATGAGTTGAACTCCACGCAACTTAAAAGTTGCCAAGTTTGAGAAACAACTGATCCAAAATCAAAACAAAACAGTGGACTTGTGTGAGAATAAATATGGTGAATATACATTTCCCGTTCACCTTCTTCCTCCTCACCATAACTAATCTGAGAGTAGGCATCAGTCCTGGTGTTTGACCTTGTTCCAAAATGATGTCGAACTGATGGATAAATGGACTTCCCAAAACTTGCCCATGAGTTCTGCAAGCAACTTTGGCAGAGCTTTTGGTGCGGGCAGACCGAGAGGTATAACTTAAAAAAAAAAAAAAGAAAATTAAGCTTCCCTTCCAAATGCAGTAAGACGGTTGTTTCGGCCACCATCAAGAAGCTCATCCCCTTAAGCCAATTTAAGAAGCCCAGGTTCAATCTGAGATCCAAAGGACGGTTTATAAAGGTAGTACTATAAAGACATCAAGCCTTTTCTAGACAGGTTCACCATAGCTATGGGTAAGGAGTTGTAACTCCTTCCACATGAAATACTACTTTAGGAAAGGGCAGACAGGACCAGTTTTCCCCATGAAGAGAATGTGCCTATGTGTGTGGTTTAACATGGAAATGGTATTCAATTATATATACACCTCTGTTGGGGAAATGCCACGACAAAAGTTGATCATTTCTAGGTTCTTCTGTCAATATGAACCGGCTTTGGGATTATCCTGGATTCAGAACCTGCTTACTAGGAAAGAAAACCCTGGACCACTCAAGTTTGGGAAGGGGAGAGAAGGGGAGATTCACAATGACTTCCCTCTTAATGGCGGCATCTGCTCTTTTACAGGAGGCAAAACAAATAAGCCGTGTAATATAAAATTTGCATTTCACAAAAGAGAGAAAGACAAATGACAATACCTGGTCTGCCCAGTGTAGCACTTGAATTAACTGCAAGATACATGCAAAGTAAATGGCTATCTTAAAAGACAAAAAAAAAGAGCAGTCTTGTTAAACAAAAGCTTTTGCTTATACACGTGCAACGCTGCTTTTTTTTAAGCGAGTCTTTTAGCTACGTCGCTGTAGGCGATTTCAATCTCTTTCTCTCCAGGACAAGTGTTGGTGAATTCATCACGGCTATAGGCGTTCTTCAGGTATCTCCAGATGCCCGTCATAGACTTGGGAATATCAAAGTTGCGATACTTTTTGGCCACAATCTAGGAGCAAAGAGAGAGATCGGTCTCAGTAGGGTGTTTTGGAGAAATGTGAGGCCTGAGAATGAACTGCCTGAATGGAGCTTCTCTGAGACCCACCGACCCAGCATTTAATTCACTGGATTTCCTGCAGGAAGCCTCCAAATAACACACCGATGCCACACCTTGGCAACTTTAAGGTGTGCGAACTTCAACTCCCAGAATTCCCCAGGAACGTAAAGTAACCAAGTTTGAAAAATGCTGATTTAAATAAATACGAGGCAATCTGTTTCAGGAACCTCTTTTAACTTCCACCTGATTCAGTATTCTTCCTGCAAATTCTAAATTAGCCGGCAACACAAAGGGTTTCAGAAAGGATGGTGGTTCAAACTGGTTTTCAGTTTCATGCTTTTAGCTGGAAGTCTCGCATTAAAAAAAAAAAACCCCAAAGCTGTTTTTCAAAAGGCAACTGGACTTTCTTGGTTATTTTCTTTGAGAACTTTTCGCTTTCTCATCCAAGAAGCTTCTTCATTTCAGAACTGAAGGAGCGTCTTGGATGAGAAGCGAAATGCTGCCTTTTGAAAAGCATTTTTGGGACAACCATGGCTTGGACGATTGAGAATCTCCGTAGACATTTATTCTAGCGTTAAATCTGCATGTAGGCTTGCTTCAGTTCTCGTGTCGAATTCCACCTACTTTGACAATATGCAGCTTGGGTAACAAGTTGCAGTCCGCTAGTGTCATCTCATTCCCATCCAGAAATTTGCGCGTAGAGGCAGGGATGTCTTCCATGCTGTTCTCGTCAATCTCTTCAGGGAGGGGACTAATTAAGTACTCATCCAGCTTCTGCAGAGTTTTCAAAAGACCCCGCTCCAAGGCTGCAGGGAAAAAGGCAACGGGGGAAGGGGAAAACAACAGCGCAGCATTAGGGCACCCCTCTGACATCTCTCTAAAGCAGGTTTTTTTTTTTTTCAACCTTGGCAGCAGACTAATACAGTTATTCCTCGACTTACAATAGTTCCTTTAGTGACCTTTTGGAGTTGCAACAGCACTGAAAAAACTGACAGTTGTGACGGTTTTTCACTTACGACTCTTGCAAGCACGCCCATGGTCACGTGTTCAAAATTCAGACTCTTGGCAACAATGGATTCATATTTGTGACCTTGCAATGTCATCGCCCTTGGCAACCTTCTGCCAACTGGTCAATGGGAAAGCCAGATTCAATTGTGTTATTAATAACTGCAGTGGTTTCACTTAACAACCGTGGCAAGAAAGGCCATAAAAGGTGAGGCTGTTTAGTCCCTTTACTTGTGGGTTGTTGTATTTTTTGTTTTTGTTTTGTTTTGCCAAACTCTCCATCGCTGCTCTAGCCTGGTTCCTGCAGAGCACCACCAGAGGGCGCTCTTGTTCAACCCAACTCCTCTTCTTGCTGGGCTAAAAACAGAAGTTCCTTCTCTCCTTTCAAATAGTGATGAAAGATCTGGAGGCTTATTTATGTCAGCCTGCAGTCTCAGAAGTAAAGTGTCTCTAAGGATTCCCAACTGCCACGCTTGGTTTCGGTTTTTCACTTTTTATTTTGATTAGCTTCGTTTATTTTGGAGGGCAAATGTTGGTCTGATTTTAAGAACGTACGTCCTTGGTCCCTATGGAGCCTACAGTTTTTTTACAAGAGGTCCAAAAGAAGGCTGCATAGAGTTATTTGCATGGCATGCAGCACATACAGAATACAGTATAACAGAGTTGGAAGGGACCTTGGAAGTCTTCTCGTCCAACACCCTGCTTAAGCAGGAGACCCTATATATGCCACGTCAGACAAATGGTTGTCCAACCTCTTCTGAAAAAGCTCCAGTGTTGAAGCACCCACAACTTCTGGAGGGAAGCCATTCCACCAATTAACTGTTCTCACTATCAGGAAATTTCTTCTTAACTACAGAACAATAGAGTTGGAAGGGACCTTGTAGGTCATCTAGTCTAACCTCCTGCTCAAGCTCTCCTTGATCAGCTTCCATCTGTTACTTCCTGTCCTGCCTTCAGGTGCTTGGAGAATAGGTTGACCCCCCTCTTCTTTGTGGCAGCCTCTCCAACACTGGAAGAACTGCTATCATATGACCTTTGCCCTTCTCTTTGTTAAGACTGCCTAGGCATACCCCGTTTCCATAACCGTTCATCGTACCCTCTTTCAGACCCCTAATCTACCACCCCCTGATATCACCAAGAAAATAACCTCAACAGCTGGATTCCAATGAATCCTGATGCACAATGGCTCCTACGGTTACAGGCCATGTGAGGCAACATCTTCCTTTTCCTGGAGGTGAAGCACGAGTGATTCTGCAGAGCGGCTACGCTCAAATCCCTCTCCCATCTTATTTGCATTCTGCTTTGCTTCCTGTAGCCTTGATCCATTTGAGGCAACACCGAAAGGAACTGATGGCAATTCAGTAGTTCCCCAAGGGCTAGAGGTTGCATTTGCCACCAACACACTGTGCACGAATGCTGGTTTCTGAGACATTCAATAAAGGACCTTGCCCGTGTGCAGGAAAAAGTATTCACTTCCCAGCTCTTGGCAATTCAGAAAAAAAAATGTGTTTGGGTTTTACAGCACAGTGTGGGGGGTGGGAAGAAAATACACTGCCCTTTATAATTTCTGCATTGGCCTTCAAGCAGATTTGTGCCAATCTGGACAAATGAAACGAGTGATGCTGCAGAAGCTGTTTCACTCCCATTATGGAAATGAACTTGTGTGTTTCTCTACTCATTCTGTTCCTCAAATCCAAGCCCAGGGCAAGCGATTCCATACAACTCTTTGCAGCTACAGAAAAGCCCCAGAAAAAAAGTATGAGCTGAGGGTTTTTGTTTCCTGTGAAACAAAATTAGTAATCTATAAATAATATGTTTGTTATTTGTGTATTTTTATTTTACTATGTATGGTGGAGGAAATGCCAGGATGGTTGCAACTGTGTTCAATATTTATATATGTAAATAATAAATATCTATATATAATAAAGAGTTAAGGCGGAAGAAATAAATTCTGTCAGAAAAACAATCTTACTACTGCTGAAAAGAATATACTTTGTCACAAATCAACATAAACAAATGCCAGGCTTAACTTATATAGAAAAGTGGTTCTAGGAAATAAAAGTATTTTTCCCCTCTAAATCAGGACTCTCCAACCTTGGCAACTTTAAACCTGGTGGACTTCAATTCCCAGAATTGAATCGCTCTTTATTGTATGCAACAATATTTAAACTCCTCCTGTGCTTTTACACAGAATTGGCAAATTTCTGGTCCATGAAGGGAGACCGAGGGAAGAGCCATCAAAGTCAGCTCCAAGAAGCAGAGCGTCTTTTCCGGATGAATGTCAGCCGAGATCTCTGCAAAGAGCAAAGGAACTCTCAACAGCCGATGGAAGAATGGATGAAATAGCAAGCCGCGGGCTGCTCAGCACTACACAAATGCTGCCTCTTGGGGATTTACTAACGGAGCCTGGGGAAAAGCCCTCATTAAAAACGAATCAAGGAGAGAAGAAACCTAGAACTAAAGAGAAATTTCCTGTCAGTGAGAAGAATTAATCAGTGGAACGACTTGCCACCAGAAGTTGAGGATGCTCCATCGCTGGAGATGTTTAAGGAGAGATTGGACAGCCATTTGTCTGAAACTGTACAGCATTTCCTCCTTGAGCTGGGGGCGGGGTTGGACTAGAAGACCTCCAAGGTCCCTTCCAACTGTGCAATTATGTTAAAAAGTTGTGCAACATCCAAATATAGGCAGGATCTTGAAATTCATCTTAACTGTTGTTGGTATTTTAGAAGAAACCCATTTAAAGTAGAGGTTAGCTTGTTTCTGCTTACTCTTTGCTTTCTTCTTGCACTGTTGCAAAGGTGCACCTGGAAGGCCTTGAGGTGAAGTAAGCAGGCTGGTGAGTCAGAAGAGGAAATAATTTGTCACTTCTGCTCCTGACACAGCTGCCATAGAAGCCACTGGGGTTCATCACAGGCTTCCGTGTAACATGCAGCTTGCCCGGTGCTGATTAGGAGTACTGAAGTCTAACATATTTGAATATCACTCATTTGGGGAAAACTCTTTTTTAAAAAAAGCCTACTTTCTTGGGAAAAATTAAGACAACTGGTATCCTTGAGGTATGACTTATTGAGCCCAAAATTTCTGCTACTAAGTGAGACAGTTGTTAAAGGAGGTTTGCCCCCATTTTATGACTTCCCTTGTCATGGTTGTTAAGTGAATCACTGCAGTTGTTCAGTTAGTAACTTCTTTGCTAAGTAAATCTGCTTTCCTCATTGACTTTGCTTGTCAGAAGAGTGCAAAAGTTGATCACGTGGCACTGTAACAATAATGAAATTTATCATGTGACCGGGGTGTGTGTGTGTGTGTGTGTGTGTGTGTGTGCTTCAACAGTTGTAAGTGTGAAAAATGCCTATGTCACTTTTTTCAGTGCCCTTGTAAATGTGAATGGTCACTTAATGAACTGTTGTAAGTCAAGGACTACCTGCATGTTTATAGAGAAAAGGCTTCCTTCATCACGATGACTAATTGGAGCAAATAGCCCTAATCTATATATATAAAAGTGAAATACCACTCACGCATCATCACAAAATTTCCAGAACCGTAAAGCCTACAAACTTGAAATTTTGGCACATATGTTCCTCTTGGCTTCTAGGGGCTGACTAAGAAAGGATTTTTCAAAATGACCATCAGAGCATTAGTATTTCCTATATTACTATTAACATGCTCTGATGCTAAGGAGTTCTATTCCCCCTCCCCACCTGAAAAGAAATCTGTTCTAAATGCAAAACGCGAGGAGAGGAGTTTCGGTTTCACAAGCAGCTTTAGTACAGAACAGTTGAGCTAAGCCACACCCAGGCTCCTTGCTGTCTCCTTCTTCCTCACACAGGAAATACTCTTTCAGTTTTAAAACAGCCCTCAACTGTCTCACACACTGACAGAACGCTAGCCAGATGAATACTGATGGATGCTAGTAGGCAAAAGCAGAATTTCCCCCCCCCCCCTTATTTTCCTCCCCCCAAACTAAGCCCGGTCACATAGTTCCGTAGTGAAGCATGGGTATAGAACTCGTGCTACATAACAGTGAAAGAACAAACCCAGCATGGATTTCCTACCTTCATTGGCTTCAGGTCTGGAATTCTTGATAAAAGCTGAAAATTTAGCAAAGATGTCCATTCCAGCAGTATTTGATTCTGGATGTTTTGCTGAAAGCTTTACATACCTGAAAGAGATTAAGTGACAGCATGAGCTAGAATATAGGATTAGGGCTCTCAATTTATTCCTTGTAACGTTCATTATTAAGTAACATCCTTTTCAACACCGATTTGCGACACTCCAACATTTGAATCTTGATTTTGATCCCATATCTACTTAAGAAGTCCATAAAATGATGCTTAGGATTGAAATATCCAGCATACTGGTAGTCCTCAACTTACAACAGTTCATTTAGTGACTGCTCAAAGTTACAACAGCACTGAAAAAAGTGACTTATGACCATTTTTCAGACTTACGACTGCTGCAGCATCCCCGTGGTCATAGGATCAAAATTTGAATACTTGGAAACTGGCATGTATTTATGATGGCATGCATTTATAAACTGGCATGTATTCATAAAAGTGTGGAAGGCAGTAAGATTGTGAAATAAAGTTTATTCAATATTAAAATGGAAGCATGGTAGGAAGAGAAGGTTCATCGTGCAAATGTTTGGGTCCCAGAGGCCCTAAAATACTCAGTAAATCCCAAGAGTAGCTCACAGGTGTCACGCTAGTCTGAAAATCATTGTTCCACTTGCTTTGTTCCACAGCTCTTACCAACAGGACATTCTTCCTGATATTGTCTGAATCTCCTGTCTTTTAATTTGAGGCGCCCGGTCTTTGTCGGATTTTGAATTTCAGTGAATAGATCCTAAAGCAGACTCTGGCAACGGACAACTAGAGCACTATTTTTTTCCTGTTTTATCCCATCTTTTATTATTTTTAAACAACTCAAGGTGGCAAGCACAGCCACTGCTCCTTCCTCCTCCTCCTCTATTCCCCCAGAAACAACTTGGTGAGGTGAGGTGAAGTGGGCTGAGAAAGAGTAAGTGGCCCAAAGTCACCCGGTCAGTTTTCATGCTTAAGATAGGACCAGAACTCACCGTCTCCTGGTGCCGTCACCACTAAACCAAACTGGTCCTTTATAAAACCATGTTCAGATCTTTTAACGATTATTTGATGGGCTTGGCGTGCGGCATCCCTTGTGTCGCTTTTCTGGATCTGTTCTAGTGTATCTATGTCCCTTTCAAAGTGGGGATGTCCAGAACCGAGAATAATATTTCAAATCTAAGCAGAGCAAAGTCACACCCCATCATGTGGAAGCAGCGTTGTGTAGGACAGAGCGTTTGACTCAAAAGTCAGACATATTCCAAAGTAGTTTTAAAAATGCCGAGACAAAAACTGTCTTGGCAAAATAGAAGTTTAAAAACAGCTCTGCCTTTATCCCTGGCTCCAGCAGTATGAGAACAGCACTGGCACAGTATTTTCAGTGGTAAATTTCCAGTGTCTTCTTCTCTTATAGAATAGAATAGAATTCTTTTATTGGCCAAGTGTGATTGGACACACAAGGAATTTGTCTTGGTGCAAATGCTCTCAGTGTACATAAAAGAAAAGATACATTCGTCAAGAATCATAAAGCACAACTCTTAATGATAGTCCTAGGGTACAATAAGCAATCAAATCATACTAGGAAACAGTCAATGAAAATCATTAGGATACAAGCAACAAAGTTATGACTATATTACTTATAGATAAGTAAAGGTAAAGGTTCCCTTCGCACATACATGCTAGTCGTTTCCGGCTCTAGGGGGCGGTGCTCAGGGGTGGGATTCTACCAGTTGGCCCCTATTCACTAGAACTGGTTGTTAACATTCTAAGCAGTTTGGAGAACCGGTTGTTAGAATAAATTACTGGCTTAATCCTGTAAGGAAGGCAGGAAGGAAACATTCTGGTGTTGTTTACAGAAACTGCCTCTCCGTTAACCCTTATTACATTCTTGGCAGGACTAGACTTCCTTTTCTCAGGAATTTCTCTGGAGGTTTTTTTCTGCTCCTTTGCTGGTACTTAGCTTGTGTGGAGTGACCATTCAAAATTACAATGGCATTGAAAAAAGTGACTTATGACCATTTTTCACACTTACGACTGTTTCAACATCCCCGCAGTCATGAGAGGCCAGGGGAGGAGATGCGTGCCTCGATGTGAGTGATATTGAGTTGGCCACACCCATCAAAATTTGAATCCCATCCCTGGCGGTGCTCATCTCCGTTACAAAGCCGAAGAGCCAGCATTGTCCGAAGTCGTCTCCGTGGTCATGTGGCCGGCATGACTAACCACCGAAGGTAAATGGAACGCTGTTAACCTTCCCACCAACGTGGTCCCTATTTTTTTTACTTGCATTTTTACATGCTTTCGGACTGCCAGGTTGGCAGAAGCTGGGAAAAGTAACAGGAGTTCACTCTGCTATGCGGCGTTAGGGATTCGAACCACCGAACTGCTGACCTTTCTGATCAACAAGCTCAGCATTATCAGATAAGTCGATACCCCGCAAAAATTTCTATGCTTATCATGCTTGGGGGTTTCCAATAACGTGTAGTTAAGAGGATATATCTCCTTTATATTACTAATCACCCTCCCACTAGTATTCAGAGGACGAGAAATTATGGATCGTGCCCAGCTGCAATGTGTTTTATTTCTCATCTTCTGTATTGTCTTTATTTTAACGTATTTTAGTGTAATTTCACTCATTTTTTAAAATAAAACAAAGATAAAAGATAAAAACTAACAACAAAAAAACAAGTGGCCCAAAAGAAAAAAACAAGATTAAAAGAGAGAAATAGGGAACTATATAGGTGATAAAAGAGGAAAAAAGTAAAAAGTATGCAAACAAAAATGTTTTAAAAAGCACCCTTCCAACTTTTATGTATATATGTAGTTTAGTTCAGTTTACTTATTTGTCACTGCACCTTGTACAACGAAATTAAATACCATCTTCAATGTACATTATGACTATGAAAATAAACACGAACACACATCCTTCACATTCTGTACATTGAATTGAAAACCCCTGATATTGCATTAATATTGCACTATACAGCAGAATTCAACAGAGCTACTGCCATGATTGTTAAGTACGAGGAGGACTGGTTATAAGTCCCTCTTCATAAAGATGAGCCACTTGCCAAAATTTTGATCATGTGACTGTGGGGATATTGCAATGGTTGTAAGTGCGAAGACCGGTTGTGAGTCACCTTCCTCACCGCAACTTCAAAAGCATCACTAAGTGACCAATTGCAGATGACCTATGCTGGAGGGTGCAGTGCAAACAGCTACAGATTCAGTGAGTTAAGCCACATTTTTGAGAGCCAGCGAGAGGCATGACGGAAAATAGCAGCATGAATCTCACCCTTCCCTTCTACCCAACCCTCTCGGTGATACCTACTTGGGTGGGCAGAGAACGTCTTCAAGGAACTCTTCAATCTTGTTCACGTCAGTTTTCACTTCGTTATTAAAGGTGATGAAAGGCGGGTGTGTCCCTGGAGCCAAGTTCTGAAGATCTGCAGGCTTCCTGAGACAGAAAGGTTACGTGGTTGACATGAAAAACAGTTTAAGGAGTTCCCCAAATCATAGTTCGCATTGACATCAACATAACTGTGCTGACCCGGGGCATGGCACAAAAGCAACAAAGTCACAAAAGTAAGTAAAGTCCCTTTAATACCTCCAACTTGGCCCGCAATGTCCAGCGATCTCCGGCTGGAGAAATTCAGTCTGAACCTAAAGTACATATAAATTATAAAGAAAAACCAACACAAACCACGCTTCAGCAATTAACGAGCCAGGGCAGGATAAGGAATTGAAGACTTCAAAAGGTAATGAAACACTCACAGTTGGGAGGACGCCAGAACCCAGATAAGACTTGACAAACCAAAATAGTTCACGCTTTGGTTCCAGCAAGGTGCTGTGGGCAAACACCCTTTTAAGATCCCGTTTTCTCAGCTGCAGCTAATGAAGGGAATCAGGGCCTTTTCCTCCCTCGTAACCCACGTTGCTCCTTTATCCGTTCCTCCCTGCGTGCCCTAGGATGAAGACGGGGTGGCCCTGGGTCTTGTTCTGAATGCCCAGACAGACTGTGCCCATCCCCAGTTTCTTCCACAGCCATCAGAGCCACACTCCCACTCCCTGTCAGCTGCTCGACATCCCCCTCCGAATCAGATTCCAACAAGGGCATGACAATAACATGCCCAAGGACCCTGGGAATTATTATACATTGGAGGACTGGGACAGGAGCAAAGGGATTCCCGGCCCAGCAGCATATCTTCAGGGCAAAGTCTGGCTGGGCAGAGCAGGGGCGAGGTAGAGCAAGGCAGAGGGAATTCAGAGGAAGACCCAGGCCCACCCCCTCTTCATCCTAGGGGCACGCAGGGAGGAACGGAGAAGGGAGCAATGTCAGTTGCGTGGCTTACTGGGGAGGAAAGGGCCCTGATTCCTTCATTAGCTGCAGCTGGGAACACAGTGTTTAAAAAGGGAAGCTACCCACAGCCACCCATACAAAGCTACCCATACAAAGTTGTTGGAAGCAAATTGTGAGTTATCTGTTATTGTCAAGGCTTATCTGGATTCCTGGCATCTTCCCAACTGTGTGTGTTTTGTTGGCCTTTCAAGTCTGCAATTCCTTATCCTGCCCTGTCAAGTACATTGCTGCAGCGTGGTTTGTGTGGATTTTTATTTACAGTTTGTATGTACTTTGTTTTCGGACTGAATTTCTTCCACTTAAAGACTGTTTTGGGGAAAGTTTTTTCTCCAGCCAAAGGTAACGTGGACATTGGGGGCCAAGTTGGAGGTATTAAAGGGACTTATTTGCTTATTTGACTGTGTTGCCTTTGTGCCACGCCCTGGGTCAGCACACATATATTATTTGACATAGAGAAACAATACAGTCTAGTTTGAATGTATACATGCCACATTTATTTCATTTTGGGGAAGTAGCTCCATCTGACCAGGCCTTTGTACCAGCCACCCACAACATACAACTCCAGTAACACTGAGTTCTCCATCAAACGAGGGGATATGAAGACCCCTTTTGACTTGTAGAAACATTCACCGTTTTGATAAAGGAGAATATTTGCAGCTCAGGGTTGAAATGAGGGGTCCTTGGTGCACTCTGAGCAGAGTGGTTTTCCTGCAGACCTTTCATTACACAAACTAGGGAACATCATGAGTGCATTGATGATGTTACCTAGTTGGGGTAATGAAATGTCTGCAAGACAACCACTGAGCTAGAGAGCATTGAGGATTCTTCGTTCACCATTCCTCCCTCACCCGTTTTGCATGCATTGAGTGAAAAGCTCAGGGATGAAATACTTCCGGACAGATTCAGTATTAAAAGAAAAAACTGGGGAAAAGCCACACACACTACCCCGTCAAAGCTGGGAATCAGAGGTACCCCTTAACCTTTTCTGATAAAAATCAAAGAAAGGAAATAGCATGCGTTGGCATTTGCTCTCATTTCAATAGATAGGTGCAGCCCTTTCTGCCTCCAAATAATATTTCCAAATAAGGCAAGGGTGGATGTGTAGGCTATAAATTTGTTCAGAAAGTGACAACAGTAGATCTGCAGGGAAAAAGGCAAATTTCCCCTCAAGCAGATGCTTGCCTGTCCTCAAGTCTGCTTCCCCTTGGAACAGGGCTGGCTTCACAAGTTCATATCAGAGACTGTCACTGCTGCTATCACAAGACATTGCCTAAAACAGGCTTCTCAAACCCTCCTCCTTTCGCAGATTCTTAGCAGAGAAGAGCATGTCAAGAGTATTGGGACCCTGCAAGAGCATGTCTGTCAGTCAGACTTCTTGGAAGGAGGCTGACAAACAGACCAGCTATTTTGAGGGAATGGATCTGTTTACAGGAAATTGTGGGGGGAAGCATTAGTGGCTTTTTTTTAAAAAATGGGAATGATAACAATGGGCTCTCATTACTAAGGACAAGATGGTTTCTCTTAAGTGTAAGGAAGTGAAAGCAGATTTTTTTTAAAAAAAAAAAAGGGTGCAGATTTTTGAACATTGTGCTCGAATACCCTTTTAGATGTTGCTCTAAGCAAAGAAAGAACAGATTTGACCAATGCAGAAATGGAGGAAGTTACTTTGAGCCACAAGAAATAGGACAGATTATGTAGCTTTAGTCAATGTTCTGTGGAATGGAAGTGGGAATAGAATAGAATAGCAGAGTTGGAAGGGGCCTTGGAGGTCTTCTAGTCCAACCCCCTGCTTAGGCAGGAAAACCTATACAATTTCAGACAAATGGTTCTCCGATATCTTCTTTAAAACTTCCAGAGTTGGAGCATTCACAAATTCTGGAGGCAAGTTGTTCCACTGATTAATTGTTTTCACTGTCAGGGAATTTCTCCTTAGTTCTACAATTGCTTCTCTCCTTGATTAGTTTCCATCCATTGTTTCTTGTCCTGCCTTCAGGTGCTCTGGAGAATAGCTTGACTCCCCTTTCTTTGGGGCAACTCCTGACTTCATTTGCAAAGTGACTCTGCCATGCATGCCTCCTCATTCCGGTAACGTTACCGTGGGCTGCAGATACCAATCTACAGACGCAAATAGAGCTACTACTTCAACCCACTGCATTCTTATTTGCACCAATCAGTTCTACATTGCAAATGCACAGTGAGCATTGGGGCTGGCCTAGGGAGGGGAAGGGAATACAGGTTTCCAGGGATTCTACTCTTACCTTTGGGTTTCGGGTTCAGTAACTGAATTACTGCACGCCTATCCTGCCAGCTTTGTTGCTTGGCATTTAGACAGAGACACCCGAGTGATGCCATCAGGGTGTAGAGATGGTGACATCAGTACATTGATGAAAGGAACCAGCAAAGGCAGATAAGGCAGTGTCTAGACAGTGTCATGTGGTGGAATGGGGGCCAACAAAATGAATTGAAATCCTGACAAAGTGGAGCCACTGGACTGGCAGCTCACCAGTCTGGGAAGCAGGTATGCCCCCCACTTCAAGTGAGGCTGCACTTCCCTTAAAAATGCAAGTTCCAGACTTAGCCTCTTCTTGGACTCTGCTATCACTCAAGGTCCAGGTTGTGTGAGTGACAAGCTATGTATTTGCATGTCTGTAACCCTTTGCCCCTTAAGAAACACTGTGTGGGGGCGCAGTGGTTAGAATGCAGCATTGCAAGCTGACTCTGCCCACTGTCAAGAGTTCGATCCTGACTGACTCAAGGTTGACCCAGCCTTCCATCCTTCCGAGGTTGGTAAAATGAAGAGCCAGATTGTTGGGGGAAATAGGCTGACTCTGAAAACCACTTAGAAAGGTCTGTAAAGCACTGTGAAGCGGTATATAATTCCAAGTATTATTACTATTGTCAGTGTGCCGAGTTAGGTTATTGCATTCTGTTTTATTTACCTTATTTTAGGGATTGTAAATCATCATGAAACTCTGCAGACAGTGGGTTATAAAGTGGATAATGGGTTACAAAGAAGTAACACCCTGCTCTGTCCAGTACACACGATGGACATCTAAGTCTGCTCTTTCTATACCCTAGGAATTTTTGTAGAATTGGTATTCACAGGCTGAAAAGTACAGCCGATGAATCACAAAGAAGCGAATCAGCAGCACCTCCCTGACTCTCTAAAAAAGGCTTTCACCATCAGCATTTCACAAGAGCAAAGAACCTTTCCTGCCTAGCTTAACTCAGTTTCTTGCATCTGAAGAAGAATAAACAAATGTTTTATTTAGTATCTAGAATGCTGGGCGTAAGAAATAAGTGTGCAGGTCAATCTCAAATTATGAACATCAAGGTTGACTAAGCCTTCCATCCTTCCGAGGTGGGTAAAATGAGGATCCAAAGTGTTGGGAGCAAGAGGCTGACTCTGTAAAAACCACTTAGAGAGAGCTGAAAAGCACTATAAAGTGGTATACAAGTCTAAGTGGTATTGCTATAATTAGGACTGAAACTTCCATCACTAAGTCAGGTTTAGGTGAGTCACACCTGGTTTTACGAACTTTTTCATTAAGCAAATCTGGCTTCCCCCACTAACTTTGCTTCTTGTAAGCCAGCTAGGGAAGTCTCAAAGGGTGATCAGGGGACCACTGTAAATACATGCAGGTTGCCAGGTACACTCAATTTTGATCATGTAACCGCAGGGACATGCAACAATCACTAAGTGTGAGGATGGTCATAGGTCTCTCTTCTCAGCACCGTCATACATTTGAAAAATGTTAAATCAATGGACATAAGTCAAGGACTCTCTGTACTAGCAAAGGAGGAACACACAGGTTCTGCCCAAGACCCATACAAACAGGAGATTAAGAAAAGATGCAAAGGCAGCAGGTTGAAAAGTCTACTCTATGTGTAAATTATACTATGGGTAGGTGCTACTGCACAGCCCTCTTTCATTTAAAGTTGCCTCATTAAAAATAAAATACCTGATGCCGTCTCCCCACTTGGATTTCAGGGCTATGCCCGGAATCCACTGGAGTTGGGTGGCCAACAAATTTAAATAAATGAATGAATAATACAATTCTCAAAATCCACAGGACTGACAAGCTGGGGCTGGCTAG